TACAAGGTTACTTTTCAAGTTTTCTTGGATCACTCCATTCTAATACTTAGGTAACACAGGGTAGACCAGTCAGTGCCTTCAGCCATGACCTACGTTGTGTTAAGGTGTGTGACAAACGGGACGTTTTTCATTTGCTTCAGTACTTGACCCCCTAGCAACACTACATGGAATGGCCTGAACTACTTATTTTCTTGGAAGCAGTTGTTGACAGTTTGAAATTTGGAAAGAGGCGGACCTGCCAGTTTTTACATTTTGTGCAAGGTTGAAATTTGAAGTGATAGTGGAGGATACTTGACTCGCTGTCGAATTTGAACACTGCAGAATCGAAGAATGGCATATTTTTCTGATCGGCCGACGAGCCAGTGTTGTGACTCACCAAGGACTGTTTGTTATCATGACAAGTTAGTTTAATGATTTCACGCGCCTCCACCCCGGTGTAGTCGGCGCAAACGACACCCATGTCATGTGGGCATAGGCTCAAAAGTCTCTAGAGTCATGGGGGCATAGGCTCAAAAGTCTCTAGAGTCATGTGGGCATAGGCTCAAAAGTCTCTAGAGTCATGTGGGCATAGGCTCAAAAGTCTCTAGAGTCATATGGGCATAGGCTCAAAAGTCTCTAGAGTCATGTGGGCATAGGCTCAACAGTCTCTAGAGTCATATGGGCCTAGGCTCAAAAGTCTCTAGAGTCATATGGGCCTAGGCTCAAAAGTCCCTAGAGTCATATCCGCCTAGGCTCAAAAGTCTCTAGAGTCATATCCGCCTAGGCTCAAAAGTCTCTAGAGTCATATGGGCCTAGGCTCAAAAGTCTCTAGAGTCATATGGGCCTAGGTTCAAAAGTCTCTACAGTCATATGGGCCTAGGCTCAAAAGTCCCTAGAGTCATATCGGCCTAGGCTCAAAAGTCTCTACAGTCATATGGGCCTAGGCTCAAAAGTCTCTACAGTCATATGGGCCTAGGCTCAAAAGTCTCTCGAGTCATATGGGCATAGGCTCAAAAGTCTCTAGAGTCATATGGGCCTAGGCTCAAAAGTCTCTAGAGTCATATGGGCATAGGCTCACATGACTCCCCTTGCCAGGCTCAAAATACTCGCTCTAGGCTCAGCTAACTCCCCTACTGGGCCCAAATGACTCCCCTCGTTTTGAATTAAAATAATTACAGAATAGATCAAACATATCTTGTATTAAAAAGGTTTTCAACCCCTCTTCCTCAGTTTCTATTCTGAAATGTCAGGTTACACAGTCGGACACAGCTGACAGGCCACACTCAGAAATATTCCAGCTACAGTTTCCTCGGCTTGTAACGGACACAGCTGACAGGCCACACTCAGAAACATTCCAGCTACAGTTTCCTCGGCTTGTAACGGACACAGCTGACAGGCCACACTCAGAAACATTCCAGCTACAGTTTCCTCGGCTTGAAACGGACACAGCTGACAGGCCACACTCAGAAACATTCCAGCTACAGTTTCCTCGGCTTGTAACGGACACAGCTGACAGGCCACACTCAGAAACATTCCAGCTACAGTTTCCTCGGCTTGTAACGGACACAGCTGACAGGCCACACTCAGAAACATTCCAGCTACAGTTTCCTCGGCTTGTAACGGACACAGCTGACAGGCCACACTCAGAAACATTCCAGCTACAGTTTCCTCGGCTTGTAACGGACACAGCTGACAGGCCACACTCAGAAACATTCCAGCTACAGTTTCCTCGGCTTGTAACGGACACAGCTGACAGGCCACACTCAGAAACATTCCAGCTACAGTTTCCTCGGCTTGTAACGGACACAGATGACAGGCCACACTCAGAAACATTCCAGCTACAGTTTCCTCGGCTTGTAACGGACACAGCTGACAGGCCACACTCAGAAACATTCCAGCTGTATGGCGGCGGTCTGGGCCAGACAATCCAGTGACTGATACCATGAGCATCGAACCACGCAATTGGGATAGGATGACACGCATCAACCAAGTCAGCGAGCATGACCACGATAAGCATGAAGAACTATTTTAACCCGGATCTTCACAGGTGTCCAGTAGCAATTAAATAACAGTCCCAAAAAAGGAAATGCACTCAAGTATTGTCATGGTAAAACAGCATTAATGAGGTACGTCCTCCGGTCTTGAGTCAAGAAAACTGTGAAAAGCAGGCAGACAAATTTGTGTTTTCCGATAGGTATCACGATCTCACTCGGCATGTAGAATTGCAAGTCAGGTCGGAGAAGGAAGGCCTCAAGTCGCTCTTGCCTCGCACTTAAATAGGTACAGACAGCCTTCTAGAAACTGTTGCGAAACAGCGTAGTTTCCGGAAGTTGATAACTGTAATTTTATTGTACATTATAATCTTTTCTACAGCTATAAGATAAATAGAAGAAAAATATAATTGTAGTAAAAAAATCAATAAATTACGAGACAAGTATAAGACATAGCGTGACTGCGAGCGGTTATATTTAGCAGTGTGTGCTTCTCGAACGAGGTAAATAGAGCTTTAAATACTACCCGTGCACGGTTTTTCTTTCAGTTCGTGCTTTTAAAGTACGTACGTTGCGCCCGCTGCTAAATATAGCCGCTTGCAGTCACCCGACCACCTATCCTTACCCGGATTGCAACAATGTGATCAAAACTTGATAACATTTATCGGTTACAAAATGGACATTTCTCGATAAGATCAATAGCATATTTTTGTCATGAGTGTAACATTCCTTGTCGCCGGAATGACTTTTCTTCTCTTTATAAGTATGAAAACGCCTGCAGCCATTTTGTTTATGAACAATTGCGATACTTCGTGATTTCGTGGCGACTATATCACATCCATGCACGTTTTGGCTGTTAGTCCGGATTTGTGTCGGTTGTATTTGTGTTGTTTTAAGTGAGTTTTTGAGTGAGTGAGTATGGTTTTACGCCGCTTTTAGCAATATTCCACCAATATCACGGCGGGGGACACGAGAAATGGGCTTCACACATTGTACCCATGTCGGGAATCGAACCCGGGTGTTCGGCGTGATGAGGCGAACACTTTAACCACTAGGCTACCCGACCGCCCCTGTGTTGTTTTTAAATCCAAAACGCGTGTTGAAAAGAACAGTCCGATATGCATTCATACTACCACCTGTTACAACTTTCTTTGTTTCTTTCTTAGTTGTTTTGGGGGCACGGGTGGCCCAGTCGTCTAAGGCGCCACGATTCGCTGTACAGAGTTGCGTCCCTTGGGCACGCCAGAAACCTAAGATTGTGGGTTCGAATCCCGGTTCGCCCCGATTATGTTTCTAGGTTTGTCAGCACCATACCCGTGCTCGTGGGTTTCACCGAAGTGGTAAACGTCTGAGACCTGCATCACTTCGGGCTTTCCTCCCACATTAAGCTGACACGCCGTGATATAACTGGAATAATGTTAAAAGCGGCGTTAAACCCGACTCACTCACTCACTTCTTAGTTGTTTAACGCCACACTCAGTAATAGTCCAGCTGTATGATGGAGACATGTAAATAATCGAGTCTTGACCAGACAATCCGGTGACGACATCATGAGTATCGATCTACACAATGTACATGATCTCTAGTAACGATCCACATCCGCCAGGGTACTTTGACATGCAACCAAATCACCGAGTCTGACCACCCGATGCTTGTGGTCGCCTCTTACGACCTCCACAGGTTGCGGCATGTAAATAAATGATTCCGGGACATACAAGCCGTTCATTGATATTATGAGCCACGTCCCATGCTATTGGGATAGACCGCCTCCGTGGTCTAGTGGTAGAGCGTCCGCCCGGAGAGCGGAAGATCCCCGACCGCGTCATACCAAAAGACGTTAAAGATGGTACTTGTTGTTACCCTGTCTGGCGCTCGGCATTAAGGGGCTAAAACAAGGACTGGTCGGCTCGGAGTCAGTATACTGTGTCTCAGTGGGGTATTCATGTTAAACTGCAGCATGGTATCTCAGTGAGCTAGCACTATAAATCGGCATCAGTCTGGACTAGTACAAGCAGCCACACACACACACACGTGCATGCACGTCGCTATATAAGTGCAATAATCTTAGACGCGACGTTAAACCCCATTTCACCTCACATCACCTATTGGGATACGTGGGATATTACTGACAAAATGTTGATTGCGGCGTAAAACACTAAATTTTCGAAATCGCGTGATCAATAAAGCTGAATCTTGGTCGAATCTTCACCAGGAAAATCAAATTACAAGACAAACAATTGAAAGCATGTATTTGCTCTCTAAACATACATTCATAGGACTTTATAAAGCATTGGTTGGCGGGATCTAGCATCAGTGTAGATGACAGGGACTGTTTATTTGGCCGTATATGTTTTGATTTGTACAGGGGAGATAACTGCCGGCGGAGGGTATGAGGCAAAATGCATGCGGTTTGGCGTGACATCGATGTTAACAGATTTACGACTCTTATCAACCAGCATGTCCTTCAACGACATTTGGTGCGGTGGGGTAACCTAGTGGTTAAAGGGTTCGCTCGTCACGCCGAAGGCCCGGGTTCGATTGCCCGCATGGGTACAATGTGTGGAGCCCATTTCTGGTGTCCCCCGCCGTGATATTGCTGGAATATTGCTAAAAGCGGCTTAAAGCCTTACTCACTCACTCACTCATTCACTCACTCAAACGACATTTGAAAGGAACTCAGAGTACATTCATGCCTGTTATATGTATTTATGAAAGTGTAAATTCCTTCAACCCGAACGGTTTGAGAGATGTTCCGACGTGTTGTTGTGCTGTGTGCTTGTTATTACCGCATATACCCTATTTTTAACTATCGTCGAGTTAGTTTGTGTTTCGTATATAAAGTAAGTGTTTTTTGGTCTGCGCTGTACCCCTGCTCGTGGGTTTCACCAAAATGGGAAACGTTTGAGACCTCCATACCATCGGGCTATTTACTCACTTAAAGCTGTCATGCGACATAGCTGGAATACTATTCAAAGCGGAGGTAAACCCAACTCACTCACTCACTCACTCACCTCTAAATTGAAGGTTTGGATGAATCATGCCACAGAATAAGTGAGTGAGTATGATTTTACGCCGCTTTAAGCATTTTTCCAGCAATATCACAGAATAAGACCGTGCATTAGGAAATTACATAACCGAACGTTTATTGACTTTAAACTTACAGTCAGTATTTTGAGTATATTTTCGTTTTGCGACATTTGGTTTTTGAGTGAACACATAACTGCTCATATTGCGACAAGCTTGTCTATAGAAGCAAGGTGACACTATATTGAGAAAGAAGGCAGCGCATCGATGTACGGAGCTTGAAAGTAAACTAATGTCCAAAAATAACGATACCAACTATTTTTAATTCATTTTGAGTTATAAGTGATTTACTTTATATGAAACATATTTAAACATACCCCACGTACCAAGCCAAATGTGATCGGTGGGAAAAAAACCGGAAAATTTGACAATTTGTGTGAAAAACGTACACTTTGCTAAAACGATGTCATGTGCCGTAGCACGAAATCCACGTGCAGATCTACTGTTAAAACTGTTGCCCCGGCACGTTAGGAACACAACACCAACACAAACGTTAAAATATGATTAAAACGAATTTTTGTACACATGATGTTAAAAGATTACTCTAATGAAATATACCAATATGAATTTTCTGTGTGGTTTTGTTTTTCTTCCATAACCTTTCGAACACTTGGCATCGTTTCTTTTGGACATGAGTTTAGTTCCTGGCAGATGACCTCATATGCATGTTATCAGAGCGTGATAACAAGTTTATCGGATTGGTATATCGCATTGATAATACTATGAATCAATTCAAGCAATTCGGATGGCACCAAAATATTTCAAATTCAAGCACCAATGGGAACCCAGTGTGGCAGAAAATGGTCTTCATTTTTTATACCTCTAGCTAACTCTGATCCTGATCTGGGAAAATCCTTATAATAAACAGCATACCCGCCTGCCAGCCACGCGGCCCACCATCCAAATGTCCCCACTGTCATTATCATATGGTCACACAAGGTCAAGGTCGCAAAGTCTAAAAATGGATCTGTGTTGTCCATGAGTATGATATCCGTGGACACTACATTTGCTCTACACCATATCTTGTCATCGGTAGCTATAAGGAAAACTGGATTATGAAACTTTGTTTTCATATGTGCAATAGCTTTCTGAATATACGATAAAGGTGCGGCCAGATAGCCTCTTGTTCCCCCAGAAGCCATGTCTGTCCGACGAACATGAATCCCGATCACCGTTCTGTTTTTATACTGAATAGTGTGTTTCTGAAAACATTGAGAACTGAGATCGATATATTTTTGAGTGAAGATAAACTCTTTTCTTATTGACGACCTGATCGAGTGGAAATACTTCCATGATTGCAAATACCGCGATATTTCAACATTTCCACCAGGCAGTGTAAAGAGCTTGCAGTCAAAGGTGCCATATTGCCTCTCGGTTAGATGAGTCCAAGACTTATTGCTGACGTCACCAATGAAGGATATATTGAAAAGTTTACTGAGTGGATTGGAATTTGGAACAAGGGGCTGTTTTCTTGTTCTTGCAGCAATGCCAAGCAATGAGGCATATTCAAACATATTATTTCCAAGGCGACCATAGAATGTCACTGTCAAAATATTGTCACGTGGTCTGGTCGTTCGCCATCTTGAAAACACCTTCTTGACGACTTCATCAGAAAGTGTGATGTTGTTGAAGGATGGTGAAGTGATGTTAAGATGTTCAGCTGACGTGTTTTCCTGAGTCCTGTTGTGTAATTCAGTATGATTGAAAATGTACCTTTCTGAATATGGAATAGGCTGATTTAGAATCAAAACCAAACACAGCATCGACAATGTAATGCTTATAAGTATGAAGCAATATTTCAGAGTGTGTAGAGCCACCATCATTTCATTTCTCTTCTTCTAATATCAGTAAAAAGTAGATGCTTTTAATGTTTTCACACTGATTAATGCAACATTAAAACATAAGCGACATATTCATATGTCAAATCCTTATATACTTGTAATGGTGGCCGCACAGGTGTTGGGTTAACGTGAAAGGCCCAGTTCTTCTTTGGAAAGTGCAGTTTTGTGCACTGTTATCCTTCGCGTGAATCTCCATCACTCGCCAGCATTTGTGTCACTTTTGATGTGTTCACGTCTTCGGTATTGTTTTGGACGATTTCCTCTGAAAAGTAATTTGAAAGGAATAACGTAATTGGTTGTATATGAAGGGCATTGGTCCACGCAAGTCGTACACGGTATGTTGTCAACAAATTCACTGGACCTTACCAACCCAGTTGGTCGCCTCTTACAAGCTTAGTTTGCTGGTCTCATTTAAATATATATATATACACACACACACAAAAAATATATATATATATATATATATACACGTGTGTGTGTGTGTGTACAAGGGCGCGTAAAAGATAGGTTGGGGAGGGGTAAGGACAGATGGAATGATGGAGACAGGTGAGGAGGAGGCAGGATGCGGGGATTAGTGAGGACAGATGGAATGATGGAGACAGGTGAGGAGGAGGCAGGATGGAATGATGGAGACAGGTGAGGAGGAGGCAGGATGCGGGGATTAGTGAGGACAGATGGAATGATGGAGACAGGTGAGGAGGAGGCAGGATGGAATGATGGAGACAGGTGAGGAGGAGGCAGGATGTGGGGAGGGGTAAGGACAGATGGAATGATGGAGACAGGTGAGGAGGAGGCAGGATGTGGGGAGGGGTAAGGACAGATGGAATGATGGAGACAGGTGAGGAGAAGGCAGGATGTGGGGAGGGGTAAGGACAGATGGAATGATGGAGACAGGTGAGGAGGAGGCAGGATGTGGGGAGGGGTAAGGACAGATGGAATGATGGAGACAGGTGAGGAGGAGGCAGGATGTGGGGAGGGGTAACGACAGATGGAATGATGGAGACAGGTGAGGAGGAGGCAGGATGTGGGGAGGGGTAAGGACAGATGGAATGATGGAGACAGGTGAGGAGGAGGCAGGATGTGGGGAGGGGTAAGGACAGATGTAATGATGGAGACAGGTGAGGAGGAGGCAGGATGTGGGGAGGGGTAAGGACAGATGGAATGATGGAGACAGGTGAGGAGGAGGCAGGATGTGGGGAGGGGTAAGGACAGATGGAATGATAGAGACAGGTGAGGAGGAGGCAGGATGTGGGGAGGGGTAAGGACAGATGGAATGATGGAGACAGGTGAGGAGGAGGCAGGATGTGGGGAGGGGTAAGGACAGATGGAATGATGGAGACAGGTGAGGAGGAGGCAGGATGTGGGGAGGGGTAAGGACAGATGGAATGATGGAGACAGGTGAGGAGGAGGCAGGATGTGGGGAGGGGTAAGGACAGATGGAATGATGGAGACAGGTGAGGAGGAGGCAGGATGCGGGGAGGGGTAAGGACAGATGAAATGATGGAGACAGGTGAGGAGGAGGCAGGATGTGGGGAGGGGTAAGGACAGATGGAATGATGGAGACAGGTGAGGAGGAGGCAGGATGTGGGGAGGGGTAAGGACAGATGAAATGATGGAGACAGGTGAGGAGGAGGCAGGATGTGGGGAGGGGTAAGGACAGATGAAATGATGGAGACAGGTGAGGAGGAGGCAGGATACGGGGAGGGGTAAGGACAGATGGAATGATGGAGACAGGTGAGGAGGAGGCAGGATGTGGGGAGGGGTGAGGACAGATGGAATGATGGAGACAGGTGAGGAGGAGGCAGGATGTGGGGAGGGGTAAGGACAGATGAAATGATGGAGACAGGTGAGGAGGAGGCAGGATGTGGGGAGGGGTAAGGACAGATGAAATGATGGAGACAGGTGAGGAGGAGGCAGGATGGAATGATGGAGACAGGTGAGGAGGAGGCAGGGTACGGGGATTAGTGAGGACAGATGGAATGATGGGGACGGGAGAGGAGGAGGCAGGATGCGGGGATTAGTGAGGACAGATGGAATGATGGGGACGGGTGAGGAGGAGGCAGGATGCGGGGATTAGTGAGGACAGATGGAATGATGGAGACAGGTGAGGAGGAGGCAGGATGCGGGGATTAGTGAGGACAGATGGAATGATGGAGACAGGTGAGGAGGAGGCAGGATGCGGGGATTAGTGAGGACAGATGGAATGATGGAGACAGGTGAGGAGGAGGCAGGGTACGGGGATTAGTGAGGACAGATGGAATGATGGGGAAGGGAGAGGAGGAGGCAGGATGCGGGGATTAGTGAGGACAGATGGAATGATGGAGACAGGTGAGGAGGAGGCAGGATGTGGGGAGGAGTAAGGACAGATGGAATGATGGAGACAGGTGAGGAGGAGGCAGGATGCGGGGATTAGTGAGGACAGATGGAATGATGGAGACAGGTGAGGAGGAGGCAGGATGTGGGGAGGGGTAAGGACAGATGGAATGATGGAGACAGGTGAGGAGGAGGCAGGATGCGGGGATTAGTGAGGACAGATGGAATGATGGAGACAGGTGAGGAGGAGGCAGGATGTGGGGAGGGGTAAGGACAGATGGAATGATGGAGACAGGTGAGGAGGAGGCAGGATGCGGGGATTAGTGAGGACAGATGGAATGATGGGGACGGGTGAGGAGGAGGCAGGGTACGGGGATTAGCGAGGACAGATGGAATGATAGAGACAGGTGAGGAGGAGGCAGGGTACGGGGATTAGTGAGGACAGATGGAATGATAGAGACAGGTGAGGAGGAGGCAGGATGCGGGGATTAGTGAGGACAGATGGAATGATAGAGACAGGTGAGGAGGAGGCAGGATGCGGGGATTAGTGAGGACAGATGGAATGATGGGGACGGGAGAGGAGGAGGCAGGATGCGGGGATTAGTGAGGACAGATGGAATGATGGGGACGGGTGAGGAGGAGGCAGGATGCGGGGATTAGTGAGGACAGATGGAATGATGGGGACGGGAGAGGAGGAGGCAGGATGCGGGGAGTAGTGAGGACAGATGGAATGATGGAGACAGGTGAGGAGGAGGCAGGATGCGGGGATTAGTGAGGACAGATGGAATGATGGGGACGGGTGAGGAGGAGGCAGGATGCGGGGATTAGTGAGGACAGATGGAATGATGGAGACAGGTGAGGAGGAGGCAGGATGCGGGGATTAGTGAGGACAGATGGAATGATGGAGACAGGTGAGGAGGAGGCAGGATGCGGGGATTAGTGAGGACAGATAGAATGATGGGGACGGGTGAGGAGGAGACAGGATGCGGGGATATTTTAGGACAGATAGAATGATGGGGATGGGTGAGGAGGAGGCAGGATGCGGGGATTAGCGAGGACAGATGTAATGATGGGGACGGGTGAGGAGGAGGCAGGATGCGGGGGCTTTTTAATGAAAACACATTTGACCATGTTAAATATCTGCTAAGAATAAGTGAAAGTCTTCTGTTTTCAAAAGCTTTACATCGAAATATATAATGAAATTCGTCAGCTATTGCCGGGGAGTTACACAGTGAACATAGACGCTGTTCTCTGGGAACATTATTCCAGCGGCCAGTCTCGACTGGTAAATTGTGGTTATTTTAAGAGCGGGTTTAGATTTAGATTCAGGTAGATAGGGATAGTTTTCAAATAATGGCATTTCTTTCAGATTTTGTTATTAGAAACCCTTTGAGCTCCTCAATATTGAACTTCTCCAGGATTGTAGAAAATGATCGGTCAATATTCTTTCCACAGACGAGACTAGCCACTTGGTGTTGAAATTACATGGCATATCATATAGTTGGTTCAGGCCACAGGAGCTTAATAAACATTCTAAATCATATAACCAAGGGTGATTATTGGAATTTACGTCAGCATCCATCTTCATGAAATGATGAATTAGAGTCGAAAAGATATTTTGTGGAGATCGTACTATATGTCTATGCCAAAAACCTATAATTCTCTTAGCTACTCTAATATTAAGGGGGGTCCTGCTTAATTCGCCATAGACCATAAAAGAAGGAGTAGATAATTTTAAACCAGCCGCTAATTTAAGGAATTTTAAATGAACTTTCTCAATCATATTCAAACATTCAAATCTCCACACTTCGAAGCCATACAGTAAGATTGGTAACACCATATAATCAAATTTTTAAATAGTACAATCGAGTGGGAGATTGATATTTCGGGAATTCTTCAGGAGAGAGCACATTCATTTTGTGGCATTTCCGACTAAAGTTTTGACGGCATGTCCAAATTTCCTATTTTTATTGAATTTTATGCCTAAATAATCACAGAAGTCTACCGTTTCTAATAAGTTACTGTCGAAAATGAAGGAGGCGAGTTTCTCTTTGTAGTACCGCTGCCAAACACAACAACTTTAGTTTTAGATACGTTAACGGTTAGTTCCCGTTTTCGACAGTATAATAAGAGTGAGTTTAAAGACGTTCGTAGAGGTCTAGGATCGGTACCACATAGAACTATGTCATCAGCGTACAGCAGTGACAGGAGCTGTACACAGAGAGTAAATGTTTCATCTGACAGCGTTAACTTGACACTTTGACAACAGTTTTCTATCAACCACGGTTCGAGGTGATTAAGGAATATTGAAAATAGTTGGGGAGATAAATGTTCTCCTTGGCGGACTCCACTGTAACTTGAGAAGAAACTAGAAGTGTGTTTGCCTATTTGAACACATTGCTTAATGTCACTGTACATGTGTTTAACTAATGTTAAAACTTTACCGATAACTCCAGAAATTAACAATTTTGACCAGAGACCCACCCTCCAAACATTATCAAAAGCTTTTGAAAAGTCAATGAAAGAACTATATAATTTTTCTTTATTATTTTTTAGTATATTTATTAGCATATTCAAAACAAAAATATTGTCAATTGTAGAAAAGCCCTTACGAAATCAAGCTTGGGCTGGCGACAATATGTTATTCACATTTAAATAGTTAGTTAATCTAGATTATAAAATACCAGTAAATAGCTTATCAAGATAACTAAGCATTGTGATAGGACGATAAGAAACAGGGTCTAGCGGGTCACCCTTTCTCTTGTATATAGGCTTGATAATATCCCTATTTAAGATTTTTGTACTTGGGTCACTATTACGTGAAAGTCATTGGGGCGTCACAAATACTACTGTTGGGCGTCGCCAATGGTTATATTGAAGTTTTCAGTTCACTGAGTTATGAAACGGCGAAAGATCTTGAATGCATGAAGGAGTTTTGACAAGGACAAATATCTGGACTCATGGTGTTTATTTATTTCTTATCCACCTGACGAAATCACTTGTTTTTACATATACATTTTCATGCCCATCGGAAAGCTTTAGATCTGTATACAAAATATGAAAGGAGAAATAGATTACCTATATTGTAGGGGATTGATTTGAGCCTTGAGTGAGTGAGTGAGTTGGGTTTAACGCCGCTTTTAACAGTATTCCAGTTATATCACGGCGAGTCAGCTAAATGTGGGAGGAAAGCCCGAAGTGTTGCAGGTCTCGGACGTTTACCACTTCGGTGAAACCCACGAGCACGGGTATGGTGCTGACAAACCTAGAAACATAATCGGGGCGAACCGGGATTCGAACTCACAATCATAGGTTTCTGGCGTGTCCAGGGGACGCAACTCTGCACAGCGAATCGTGGCGCCTTAGACGACTGGGCCACCCGTGCCCCCTGAGCCTTGAGTGAATAGGCGAGTAAAGGACGTGACCTCAGTCGAGCTTCACACCACTCTGGTGTGACATTTTAATTGATTTATTTAAGCCTGCTACACCAGTACGATACACATTGGTCATATAACATTAGAATCTCTATCTTAAGTCATAAACATATTTTATATCTTTATATTCTACTTCCAAAGCAGCATGTGGATTCAGCTCTCTCCCAAACCTGTACGAGTGTTGACGTTGCGACAGATACAATTTACTACCTCCGTTGTGCAATAAAATAATTCAGATTATCGACAGAGTTTGTCAAACGAGCCTTTCCCAACGTTCGGATGGTCTAGACGCGGTCATTTGATGTTTATTCTAAAATTGCATTGAATACGCTTTTAGGGACCGATGATTTGATATTCTGCCGCGTCTGTGTGTGTGTGTGTGTGTGTTGGGGGGGGGGGGGGGGGGGGGATAGTATGTTTTTTAAATTAAATGTATGAGCCTGAATATGTTTGAAAGAAACCACCTTGGTACAATGGTACAGTTTTTTTTTAAAAGAAGAAGAAGAAGAAGAAGAAGCAGGATGAGCGAATTCCATTCGGACTTTCGTTACCCATGCTACAGAATTTGTCTTCAGCAACCCATGCTTGTCGTAAGAGGCGACTAACGGGATCGGGTGGTCAGGCTCGCTGACTTGGTTGATGCATGTCATTGTATTCCAATTGCATAGATCGATGCTCATGATGTCAGTCACTGGATTGGCTAGTCCAGACTTAATTATTTACAGACTGCCATCATATAGCTGGTATATTGCTGAGTGTTAGCTCATATTGACGTTGTTATTGATTTTTAGCGTTAATTTTCTCAGAGAAATGTTCACTAATTGTTGAATGAGTGTGTTATTGAGTCATTTGAATGCTTCAGAAAATAAAGTTTATCCCCGGGAGTTGGATCACAGGAATCAGAAGTAATTCATGACATCGAATCCCAATTGCATAGAAGGATTCTCATGATGTCAGTCAATGGATTGTCTGGTCCAGACTCGAACATGTGCAGACCGTCACATTGCTGAAATATCGCTTCGTGCGGCGTTAAACAAGAAAACAAAACAATAAAACTCACAAACGTACACGGTTCCCAAAAATATCTCATAACGACCAGGCGTCAGTCATGAGTGAGTGAGTTGGGTTTAACGCCGCTTTAAACAGTATTCCAGTTACATCACGGCGTGTCAGCTTAATGTGGGAGGAAAGCCCAAGTGATGCAGGTCTCGGACGTTTACCACTTCGGTGAAACCCACGAGCACGGGTATGGTGCTGACAAACCTAGAAACATAATCGGGGCGAACCGGGATTCGACCCCACAATCATAGGTTTCTGGCGTCCCCAAGGGACGCAACTCTGCACAGCGAATCGTGGCGCCTTAGATGACTGGGCCATCCGTGCCCCCCGTCAGTTATGTAGTTAAGCGCCGCTTTGAACAGAATTCAGTAACATCACGGCGTTTCATCCTAAAGTGAGAGGAAAGCCTGCAGTAACGAGATTCTCTGACGCCCTCCTGGTGAAACCGACGTGAATCTGGACCGACCGGAGACTCGAACCCCTCGATATACCTGGCAGGCCTATAGGACGCGACTCTGCAATAGATTAGACGTCAAGGCCACACAGTATAACGTTTACATGTAGAACATATGTTAGACCTACCTCTGCGAGGTGCAACACCCCTGAATCACTCCAATTCACACATTGTACACAACACGTATGCCAGTCAGAGACAAGCCAACTCAAGTCAAGCTTGACACACGCTATATTTATGACGCGGAGATTACAAGATCACGCGCTTGGATTTATTGCTTAACGACGGAGCTTTAAACACGATCAATGTAAATAGCAAGATTAGGAGAATGTTAAGTTCAAGTCAGTTGTACAATTGTTTACCCTATAAATACATAAACACCGATGTTCATACATAGTTTATTACGTTTCGTTATGCATGCTTTTGATATAATAATCACATATGTCTGGGCGCTCCGGAGTCAGTTAATGAATAAGGACATATACGGAGTTTTCAGTCTAGGAAGAGGTGACCTGCATATCTAATCTTGCCAATTTGCGAGATTGCTAGATGTTGCATCATGTCCAAATGTCCCATTCTCGCGTTTTCGACTTTTGACAAAAAGTGCTCCGTACCATTAACACGAGAATGCGAGACCGCGAGAACTCGAGATTTTGGCCAAATCTCGCGTTCTCGCGATCTCGCATTCTCGCGTTTTGGGCATATTTAACTCGTTCCCAATGGTGGAAATCGCGAGCATGCGAGATCGCGAGAATGTCCCTTACTGTATTCCATAATATCGTGATGTTCCAAATGTTAAAGTTAGTACTGTTACCTCGCTTCCATCTTCCCGTGGCAAGGGATTGAACTGGCTATAAAAGTCAAGTTTCTTTTTTTGTCAGTTATCGCCCTTGCCTCGGGAAGATGCCTCGCTTAACACAATGTGATTATCTCCATACTACCATGACTAACTAAAACGCGATATCTTTGGTGTCAGGAAATATATTGAGTAAAGCGACATTGCGTCCAATGTTTTGAGTGGGTTGTTGATCCGAATTACGAAATCACCGACAACAGCTTTTAAATAAAATACGGCGCTGTTTTTCTCAAGCCGTTTTTCACAGTGCAATACATGGCAGGCTTTAGTACAGCGACATCGTGGGTAACCAAGTACGCACTGCTGAAGAAGCCTAAGCAAGCCTTGCAAGGTTTCAGTTCACATCGCGCCTCACTATTATGACGTCATTTCTCTTATTGAGACGAAATGGTATGACGTCACAGTCGTATATAGAAACGCGTCAAATTCCAAGTTATCTGTTGTCCCTGAAACTTGAAATCCATTCTCCTTATCGACTTCTATCATGTTTTCTGCACGATATCTATTGCCACACATTCTTGGAATATTGTAGATCGTCAAATCATTTTTTGAACTATAACATATAATTGTTTTTAAAATGCCTACCGACAATCATGGATAAAATGTACATTTTATACATATTAGCTTCCGTGGTGATGCGGCCGTCAACTAGGCTTTTTCAATCAGAGGTGTTTATTGTGATTTGATACCTCTGACTGACCAAGCAGATTGGTGTAAACTCCAAATTCATGGTAGTTTTTGTAGTATTCCAGGCGGTCTATTGGTTTAAACTTATTTAATAATTTTATCTCATACATGTAGAATGAAATGGGGATTGGTAAACAAGCAACAATGCTCATATCAATACCGCTCCCGAAGATTATATATATACATTGGCAGTTTTAATACGTAAACAAATACAAATATCATGTAACAATATAATAGAAAGATATAATTAATGTATAGCTCATGTACCACCTGTATACGCTCCTCAAAAAAAGAAACGCACAGGTAGTATGTAGCTCACTGAACCCGACCACACAAAAAATCCAGTATATAAATTGAATATATGTTGGTGGCCTGATATTCGACAAACGGTGCGTCAAAACGCAGCCATTGTCGATTTGCAATGTCTTAAACGGCATTGTTTTCACACTTGTTCAAAAATGTCATGGAGGAAAACAGTAAAGCAAAATGCACGTGCAAGTTATGGCATTTGTAACTCGTGGCAGTGGCTATAAAAAGACAAGCCAATAATTTGTCATTCAATTGTCAACAATTTTTCAAGTTCGAAAATACCGAGACTCAGCGCTGGCGATCGAACATCGCCATAGGACGTATCCAAAGAGGGGAATCGCAGTCTTCTGTTGCACGCCACTTCAGCGTCCGGTACAGCACCATTTGCCGCCGTTGTGACCGATACACACAGTTCAATTCCACTGTAGGCCGTCCGAGTACCGGCCGACCAAGAGTTACCATCCCTGCACAGGATCGCTATATTCGACTGTTCCACCTACGTCATCGCAATGCCACAGCTAAGGAGAGTGCAAGACGCATCCCTGGTTTGAGGAGGATATCGGACCAGACTGTCAGGAACCATCTTCGCGAGGCTGTAATCCGACCCAGAAGACCAGTTATCGTCACTGTTTTGCAACAGATCCATATCCTACACCATGAGATCTTATTTGGTTGTGGTTCAAGGATATTTGACAGAAAATCGCTACATGAATCAAATTCTTCAACCTCACCTTCTTCTAATCAATTACCGCCAGGGGGAGTTGTTTCAACAGGACAAAGCTCCACCGCACACAGCTCGTGTCACGGTAGACTACCTTCATAATACCAACATGAACGACTTGCCCTGGCCGTCGAGATCTCCAGATCTCAACCAAATCTAACACATCTGGAATGAACTTGAACGTCGTGTACGTCAACGTCAGAACACGCCGCAGACATTCCCACAACTGGCCAACGCGTTACATGCAGAATTGATCCGTGAAGATTCGGGGTAGAAGAGGTCTTCAGCAACCCCTGCTTGCCGTACGAGGCGACTATGCTTGTCGCAAGAGGCGACTAACGATATCGGGTGGTCAGGCTCGCTGACTTGGTTGATGCATGTCATCGATCCCAATTGCGTGGATCGATGCTCATGATGTCAATCCCTGGATTGTCTGGTCCAGACTCGATTATTTACAGACCGCCGTCATATGGCTGGAATATTGCTGAGTGCGGCGGTAAACAACAAACAAACAAACAAGTCCGAAATGTCAAAAGGGTCATATGGCCTTTGATGAAGAATAATTAAGAACTTTTGCATGTCGTGACCGATGGTACCCAAACACATGAAACGCATGCATCCGTGTAGCACGATACAGTTAAATCGCGGGAAAATAATGCCATTTGATTCTTTAAGCCACGTAATACATGAGCTGATTACCGTTAGGATTATGTTGTGTTTATGAATGACAGTAAAGAGACCAGACATTTCGTCTAAACAAATAATATGTAAACTGTATGACCTTTCACTTAATATGAGTGATCGAAATTGATTGTGTTTATAATAATTTGAACAACATTACTTCATCATAGACCCGTGAAGATTCCAGGGTAGAACAGATCTTCAGCAACCCATGCTTGCCGTAAAAGGTGACTATGCTTGTCGTAAAAGGCGACTAACGTGATCGGGTGGTCAGGCTCGCTGACTTGGTTGATGCATGTCATCGATCCCAATTGCGAGGATCGATGCTCATGATGTGAATCACTGGATTGTCTGGTCCAGACTCGATCATTTTACAGACCGCCGTCATAGAGCTAGAATATTGCTGAGTGCGACGTTAAACAACAAACAAACAAAAAACAAACAAACTTCATCATAAGTAATAACGATGTCAATATAGCAAAAATATTTACAAGTTATTTTTTTCCAAGTCAATATTAACGCAATGTAGAAACCAATATGGTAATGATACCGCTGTTGCTGCTGTTGTGGTTTATTTTGATTATTGATGCATCATCGTTTTCACTCAACTTAAAATATTCACAGAAAGTGAGGTCAGTACTCGTCGTTCATAGCGTTCACGGGGCGGTCGGGTAGCCTAGTGGTTAAAGCGTTCGCTCGTCACGCCGAAGACCCGGGTTCGATTCCCGACATGGGTACAATGTGTGAAGCCAATTTCTGGTGTCCCCCGCCGTGATATTGCTGGAATATTGCTAAAAGCGGCGTAAAACCATACTCACTCACTCACTCATGGCGCTCACTAAACGTGCCGGCCTAATGTCCAGATCTAGGCTGTCCACATGGTGTGACTGGGACTAATAACCATTTTCAATCTCGTTGACTCGCACACCTCTCGACACCGAGTGTTGCTAGCGACCTTCGTGACGGTCCATCAAGGCGTTTTATGAGAACGACTCCACCAGTTACCAGGCAGAAGTGGTGATGATGGCTTCTTTATGATGTGTACAGGGAACGACAGAAGATCATGAAAAGCATGCATCCGTGTAGCACGATACCGTTAAAGCACGGGACACAATGCCGTTATGTTCGTGTTATTATACATGACGTGTTACCGTTGGGTTTATGTTGTGTTTATGAATGACAGAGGTGAGGTGAAATTGGGTTTAACGTCCCGTCCAAGATTATTGCACTTATATAGCGTGTGTGTGTGTGTGTGTGTGTGTGTGTGCTTGTACTAGACCGGACTAATGCCGATTTATAGTGCTAGCCCACTGAGATATCATGCCGCAGTTTAACATGAATACCCCACTCAGACACAGTATATTGACTCCGAGCCGACCAGTCCTTGTTTTAACCCCTTAATGCCGAGCGCCAGACAGGGTAACAACAAGTACCATCTTTTAACGTCTTTTGGTATGACGCGGCCGGGGATCGAACCCCGGACCTTCCGCTCTCCGGGCGGACGTTCTACCACTAGACCACGGAGGCGGTCTATGAATGACAGAGCAGAGACCAGACATGTCGTCTAAACAAATAATATGTATTCGGTATGAACTTTCACTTAATCTGAGTGGTCGAAATTGATTGTGTTTAAAATAATTTATCATCAAAAACTGGCTCCCACAGGAGGTATCGCTAATGTGAGATCAAGGGATATCTACATTGTAGATATCGCTGCAATGAAATTCCATCACAATGCTTTGCAGACCATTGTGACGTCATTGGTTACCATGACGTCACAATCAAATAATATCACTAATGGCTCTGCCACTGAAGCTGTTAGCAGTACTTTTTACACTTAATACACGCTTATGACTGTCTACAAACTGAAAAAGTTGGAAGAATGATGTTGGATGATTAAAAATGATCTCACCCTCGTGTCTTTTGATATCAAATATACACAGTTGATTAAAGT